ACGGCGTTAAGTTATATACCTTTGAGATGACTCCTAAAACACCTAACGACACTTTAACGGCGTTAAGAAGCTTATCATCTCTTCCTTCTTCCATTCTAATAACCTTCGCGAAACCTTGCGATGAATTCGCCGGAACAACAAGACTGATTCCGACAACATGATCATGAACCGAACCACCTCGTCCAAACCACGAGCTTCCGTGGGACCCAGTACTAATCAGCCCACCAATACTCACTCCTTCCCAATACGGTGACGTTCCGATGCTAAACCCAGCTCCTTCAACATTATCGATCAGCTCTCTCAACGAGACTCCGGAATCAGCCGTAACCGTTAACCGGTCCGGTTCGATATCGATAACCGAGTTGTAATTCGAAGTACTGATTAGTAATGCGTCTGAACCGGAAGGACAAGCGAGTTTCGGTATTGTGTGAGAGAATTTGGTGACGGTTTTGACCTTGAGATTGTGTTCAGACGCGTAAGCCACGGCTTTACGAAGCTCTTCCTCCGTCGTTGGATATGTCACGTTGGCCGCGTCGCAGTTTTTCCGGTCAGGCCACGTACCGTAAGCGTTTGAGACGGTGCAGCCGGTTTGGTCGCATCGAACCGGTGGTTGTGGTGGTACGGATCGAACGGTACAAATGGTAACGAAGAAGAGATATAAAATTGAAAATGTTAGTGTATGAGAATAACGCATTTTCTATGCGGAGAGACGATATTAATTTGGTTTATTTGTGATAAAAAAAATTTTGGAGGTATGTTATGTTTATGTAGATGCGTTTTGGTCGGAGGTGGATAACATTGCTTTGAAGGAAACATATATTATTATCGGATTTTTTATATTTATAAAGTATGATTTGAAGATATTATTTTTAATTAGGAATATTTCATTTTGGAAGTGAATATTTTTTGTGTGAGAATACTTAATTAGTCCTTTGCGCAAGAGTTAAAAAGTCGTACAAGGTGAGATCTGGGTCAAAACCTAAATTTTGGAGAATAATGTAGGTTTTAAAAGTTTGAACTATTTAGTATCCACTAAGTAAATAACCATTCATATAATATTATTAGATACTCCTATGTGGGATGTTGGTATATATAACAAATGAAAAACAATGGGTCTGAATAGTGAAAAGACAGAATTTGACAAAAAGTGGGTCTGACAAAACAAGACAAAAACAATAAAGCATACAGTACTCCTTTAAAGTATAAAAAATGATTGATGTTTAGGATTAGTTTAACAATAGTTTATACTAGTTATGTAACTTAACACCAAATATATAAAAAATGTTTGACATTGTAGTTAAATAAAATCGATGCTAATCAATTATTTATTTTTTTTCTTATAAAATGTGAATTTTATTTACCAAAAATTGGAAATGTTTGTGTTTACAAGGTGCTCGACGGAGTATTAGGTTTCAAAAAAAGCAAAAAAAGGGGTAAAAAAGCCTAATTGAGAACATAATGAGAAAGATGTATCCAAGCTAGTGTGCTAACTACTCATAGATGAACCATTGAATTAGAAGGTTCTGGAAAGTTTTTCCGTGGATCCTAGCAACGATGAAGTCTCTAATGGTTCGATCGATCAACTTGAAAATGACTGCATGTGGGGAGGAGACAGAATTGTGGAG